CGACTCTGTAGATTCTTCTGCTCTGAGGCGACGTGACCGTCTGGAAGATCCCCAACGAACACACTAATATTGGAAATAGAAACTTTCGAGATTGTCTTTCCTTAAATTAAAACAAAACAAAAAACAAGCACGAGGGCAGCAGCGCGTGTCTGGCTCGCATGTGGAAGTCGGAGGACAGCGTTTGGAGTCCGGCCTCTCAGTACTGCTTTAACGTTTGATTTTTTTTTTTTCCCCTCCTTCCCACCCTACACTGCTTTCCTCTTCATTAAAGCACTATTCCGAAATTGATTGAAGCAAGATGCTCACCGAGCAACGTGTTGGTAGCTACCCTGAAGGCAGAAGAGTGGTTTTTTATGTTTTTTTTTTTTTTGGTCATGCTTTGGGTTTACCAACAGCTGGGTCACTGGCCATGCATCCCAGATTATTTTTTTAAGAAATGTCACACCTGTGTGATTAAGATCTCAGGTGGTTAAAGGTGTAGACTAGCAACCAGAAGAAACCTTTGACACAGGAACGCTTGTAGACTACCTTGGCCAGATATTTTTAAAATTTTAAAAACTCACCTATGGACTGAAGAATTTTGATTAGTTTGCAAAACAAACTTATCTTGGCAGAATTCAAGGCAACTTTTTTTTTCTTTTTGGCGTGATTTACTTGTTCTTTATTGGCATCAGTTTTCCTGGCAATTTGGTTGTCTGCAAAACTGCCTCATAAGTTGTTAGTGAAGTTAACTGACTTTAGAATATCAGTATTATGTAAGAACAAGAGGGAAGCATTTAAATTTAACGTAAACTCTCTTGACAAGTTCTGGTATCTACTTCTGAGTCTTATACTTTTCTCTACCAGTATTAGGGGAAAATAGTATGGGCAGTAATAGAGGCAAAACTGAAAAAGACCCTAAGCAATAAAACAGTAATATGTTCTATGATATTTCAGTTACATTCAAGTCTTGGATTGTGTTAAAACCACAACTTAGTGTCTTTAGAGTTTGTTCTAAGTCAGTTCTGAGTTGTTGATATGTTTAAGGTGGGGTACCAAGTGAGGTTTAGAATACAGAGTTGTACAAAATGTGGTCTGTACTTGTTCCTTAGGAGCCTGGTTTGGGTCAGAGTTGAAATATTCCTAGTGATAACTCTGTTGTGAAAGTTGCATTGAAGCTAGTTGGAGATAGTGTGCAGAGTGGCATTGAGGTACTTGTTTTTCTTTTTGTAACACCCCTGCCTTTAGACTACTCATGGTATTTTTAATATTTTTGAGATTTGCTTTTGGAGCCCAGCCTTGGTGGTGCATGCCTTTAATCCCAGCACTTTGGAAGCAGAGGCAGGTGGATTTTGAGTTCCAGGACAGCCAGGGCTACACAGAGAAACCCTCTCCTGAAAAACAAAGCAAATAAACAACAACAACAGATTTGGTTTTGGTGCTTGATTTTCAGCTCAGAGCCTGGTGTACACTAAGTTCATTCTGCTACTAAACTACGCTGGTGCTTCTTCAGTTTCAGATCTTTTTATTTTTTTTAAAGCAGCTGTTATATTTTACTATTGGACTGCAGTTGAGGAACTGTGTTAAAGCTTGTAAAAGTCTTACTTGGTTATTGCTGTGTGTGTTTCTTTAGTTTTTTTTTTTTTTGTAGTGTGTTGAATTGTAAGCACCTGGAGCAGTGTGGTTCTCAGCTTGTAGTCCTGACCCCTTTTGGGGGATTAACAACCCTTTCAACAGGGGTCAGCTAAGAACATCTGAAAACACAGGTATTTACATTTCTACTCATAAAAGCAAAATCACAATTATGAAGTAGCATCAAAAGTAATGTTATGGTTGGGGTCACCACAGCATGAGGAACTGTATTAAAGGGTTGCAGGATTAGGAAAGTTGAGAGCAACTTACTTAGTCATGAGTAGGTGATACTTCTCTCCTTACATATCCAACCTTTTATAAGTATTTGTCAGTATTTCCAGTAATCTATGGAAAATCCATAAATGATCATTTTCTTTTTTGTTTGTTTTTCTAGACAGGGTTTCTCTGTGTAGCTTTGGTTCCTATCCTGGCAATCACTCTGGAGACCAGGCTGGCCTCGAACTCACAGAGATCCACCTGCCTCTGCCTTCCGAGTGCTGGGATTAAAGGTGTTCGTCACCAACGCCCCTCGAATGATCAGTCATTTTCAATCAGTGTTTGAGGTTAGTTATGCAAGTAATGGCTTACAGATAGAGATTGAGACGTTCAAAGGGGAAATATATTGCTTTACAGAACCTGTGGAAAATGGTTGCTCCTCTTAGTTTGGAATTGAGGAAAGTCAAAATTAGACTTAGTGAAAATGGTAGACCATGTCCTTGATGGTATTCTATGGGTTCTTCCTTTTAGATAGCTTACTTTTCTTCTGCTGTTTTTCCTGTTATTTAAAAAATGTGTTTTTTTGTGTGTCTGTGTGTAGGTCTGGAACTTGTGTCTGTCTGTCTGTCTGTCTGTCTGTCTGTCTGTCTGTCTTGGAACTCCATAGATCAAAGCTGGGAGTTCTGCCTTTTTAGCATTGGGATATATACAGGTGCACAACATCACACCTAGTCCAGATATTTCCTCTCTTTATACTTAGCCTTGCTTTTAAAATAAGACTGGCAAACATGGAGAAGCCAGCTGTGGTGGTGCATGCCTGTAACCTGAGGACTCACTCAGAAGTGGAGGCAAGAGAACTGTGAATTGGAGCACAGCCTGGCCTACATGTCATACCTTGTCTTAAAGCAAAATAAAGTCTAAGAGAAAAGGTCCACTGAGATAGATAGCTTAGGGGCAAGGGTGTTTGCTGCCAAACTTGAGGGTCTGAGTTGGAGACTAGAACCCTCAGGTTGCAAACAGGACCTCTTGCAAATTGTCCTCTGATCTCCAAGTCCACACCAAGGCAAGTGCACACACATAGAGAAATAAATAAGTAAATATATGTGTGAAAAGCTTAAAAAAAAAACAAGGAAAAGCACTAAAAGTTATAAAATGTATCAACCGAAAAGCTGTTTATTGGTAAGCAGATTGACAATTTTTTTTTTTAATTGAGAACTCATTTTTTGTAATTTATTTATTTATATTTTGTGTGCATTGGTATTTTGCCTGTATGTATGTCTGTGTAGGAGGGTATCAGATCCCTGGAACAGGAGTTAGACAGGTGTGAGCTGCCATATGGGTGTTGGGAATTGAACTCAGGTCCTCTGGAAGAACATCCAGTGTTTTTAACCACTGAGCTGTCTCTCTAGCCCTAAAAGTTAAATCCATGCTTCATTTCATTTTATTCATTTAATGTGCATTGATTGGTGTTTTGCCTGTGTAAGGGTGTCAGGTCCCCTGGACCTGGAATTACAGACAGTTGTGAGTTGCCGTGTGGGAAATTGAACCGTTTCCTCTGGAATAGCAGCCAGTGCTCTTAACCACTGAACCATTTCTCCAGCAGGAACTCATTTTATTAGTAACTTTGTTTAGTTATTTCACATTTCACTTCACTTTATACTCTGAATCTGTGTGATTGTTTGACTTAGAAAAACGAAATGTGGATATACACTTTATGCATCATAGTTACATAGAATCAATTAAAATTTTTCAGATTGGCTTAATCCAGATTGAACAGAAAGTCCTGAGCAATAGCACTTTCATGACACACTTAATTTCTAAGACTGTGGCTCACAACTGGGGGGTGAAAACCCTTTCACAGGGGTTGCCTAAGACCACCAGAAACATATTTATGTTGTAATTCCTAGAGTAGTAGAATAACAGTTATGAAGTAGAAACAACAATAACTTCATGGCTGGGGGTCACCACAGCTTGAACTGTATTGGTGGGTCACAGCATTGGAAGGTTGAAAAACCACTGTTCTAGAAGGCTAAAACTATAAAGGTCAGTAGAAGTACCAGCAGCCCTCTTATAATAGGAGACATGTGCAATAGTTGTCGTGTCAATAGTCATTGCTCCTTTTCCTTCCCTGCCACACTGGAGACTCGATTCTGTTACATTATGAGTTGTGCGGTCTTTCTCAGGGAGATGACTGAGGAGTGGGATTAAGCATGGCTTATACAGTCTTGTTTAAATTTTCCTGGGAGTGGGGAACATTGAAATTTCTTAGTCCGGGTAAAAATGGGAATCAAATAGCTTAATTTTACCCTGATTTTTAAATGGAGTATTGGAGATGATATGTGTCACTTGTGTGGATCTAATGTTTGTACTCAATCAAGGTTCGGCACCTCTCTGCATGCGCACATCTTGTGCT